ATCCCCTCCTTCCTCATCTCCCTCCACGGCGCCCTCTTCTTCACGGGCCTCACCCCAGGCGACCCCCAGATCAAAGCCCGTATCCTCGCCTCCACAGGCGGCTGCGTCCACATCTTCGGCTCCTTCATCGCCATGGGCCTCGGGCCGTTCCAGTTCCTCCCCTCGCTGCGCCACGCGTATCCGACGTTCCACAAGTGGCTCGGCTGGGTGTACGCCGCGGCCGTGGCGGCCGGCGGGGTGGCCGCGTTCTATGTCACGTTCCACAGTCTCGCGCTGCCGTGGGGGCGGGTGGGGTTTGCCGCGCTGGCGTGTGCGTGGCTGGAGACGCTGCGCAGGAGTATTGTGGCGGTGAAGAGGGGGGATGTGAAGGGGCATATGGGCTGGATGACGAGGAACTTTGCGTGCACGTATGCGGCGGTCATGTTGAGGTGGCAGCTTCCGTTGATGATTGTGGCCGGGATGGAGGTGAAGTTTGCGCTGTCGATTACAGGGTTCATCTCTTGGATTCCGAACCTGATTTTCGTTGAGTACTTCGTGTTGAGCTGAGGTAGAGGTGGAAGGGTTGTGTTACCGGAAGTTGAGAGTTGTGAGATCGCGTCTTTTGCTCATCCTGATGCTGAGTTTAGCCCGCCTCAGCTATGTTGGTGGTATTGCGGGAGTCCTGAGACTAGAGATGGGTAAGATTTAACATAAAACCGTAGGATCATAGTTTGAATTCGAATTGAAGATATCAGTTTGCGTTTCCGGTGGTTTGTCCCACTCAACGATTGTCAAGATAGAGGCTAGCGAAAAATAAGAACGCATCTAGTATAGTCGAGGAAGCTGGGCGCATAGGTGCGAAACTGTAGTTTTCAGGTTGGTCATCAGTAACCGGTAACACTTGTTATAGTGCAGGCCCCAAGATGCTCTGTGGCAAGCTTAACTCAACTCGTTTTAAAGATTAGTTGACTAGTTGACCAAGTGAATGCGACTTTCATCGGCAAAGCTGTAGACGAGTCTACCTACCTAATTATTATGAATGATGACTGCCTGCGCATTGGGCTGATCAGACCGTATCAAAGTCATTGAAGTCTCATGTTGTGATCTGTTTCAGGCCAAAGTTACACGTCGCTGTTCCATATGCTCATTTGAATTTGGGTGGCAAGAATATACCCAGACAACCGGAAAATGATACATGATCAGTGAGCTTCTGTCTTCATACCTGACACCTCGAGTTTTGTCACATAACACTATGCACTTCCGATATCAACGTTGGCATCATGCCTAAAGATCCGTGATATCTCAAGGGCCGATCTGTCCAAGGTTCTGCAGAAATCAACCAGGGTTCTTCAACGAAGTCTAAGTGCGTTCCTTGATATCTTCTTGCGTGCTTGTCACTCCAGACCCCTCATCATCGTTGTCTAGATCGTTCAACTCGCGGTCTACCGCGTCGTACTTCCGAAACTTCCACCAAAAAAGCACGGAACAAGCTCCCATGACCCCGGCAATGACAGCGTAAACCACGACAAGATGGGGATCCCGGGATACCGGGCTAAGGGCCATAGCCATAAGCGAGCCAAGGCACGCACTGAGCTGGACCATGGCCTGCACGATGCTCTTCATGTTTTTAGGCGCTTTGGAGTACGCATACTCGCTCGCAGTCACCAATCCAAAGATCTCGGCAATGGCCAGGGCCACGTAGACCGGTAGTTGCAACCAGACATTAACCTCGTTAGGAAGACGTCCACCGTCTGAAGCAGCGCATGCGCGAGGTGCGTCAAAGCAGGGTCCCGTGCTATAGATCATCTTCTGCAGTCCTGCGGCATAGCCCATTCCTCCGCCGCAGATGAGAAAGGCCACTGCTATACGAGCCATGGGACCGAAAGAGATACGGCGTTTCGCGAGGAAGTTGTACAGTGCCTGGATTATGGGCCCGAAAATCACGCAGGCGACTCCGGCCATGGCTTGGAGCATGTCGTTCGGCACGCCGTGGAGCTGCATCTGCCCTGCTTGTGAGATGAGATTGTTGAACATCTGGGTGATGGCCAGATAGAAGAAGGCGAAACAGAAGCTGGGGGACTGTTAGTACGTCAACAGAGGTCTGATGTTGGTGAGAACGCACATGACGCGACATGCGAGGAGACCGCGCCTCAACTCATCCACGAATTTGTCCCCCCACGGAAACGAGGCACCGTGGGCTTCCATTTGGTAGGACTGTTTGGCGTGGTCGAGATTGAAACCGTTCCGTGCTGCAATTGACATGACTTTGATGGCTTTGGGGAGATTGTTTTCCCCTGGCCGGATCTTGACTTCACATTTTGCTGTCAGCAGATGCTTTGGTCATCTTGAAGATGAACCTATTTACCCAGTCGTGATTTAAAAATGAGCAAAAGACTAACCGCCGCCATCACAGAAATAGCTGCCATGAGATATGCCGTCCAAAAGCCAAACTCTCTTTCCAAAAACGTGGCGGGGATGGATGAGAGGGAAGCGATGTTTGTGAACCTGAGGAAGATGAATTGTTAAGCGAAGTAAGAGTGCTACTCATCATCGGCGTCTTACCAATAAAAGGCGTTGTAGAGGAACTGAAGCGTTCTGGTACCGTCAACCACTGCAGGTAATCCATCTTTCTGCCGGACAAGTTGGGGAGTCTTCTGCTTGTATTGATCGCCTAAGGCAATCGTCAATTGGCTTCTCTTGTATTGTTTCTCGAATACAAACTGAAGAGATTATCTCACCAATGAAAGGGGAGATGGTTGCTTTAGTAGCACCGACACCGAGTCCTATCAGGATCATGGCGACGACCAGACCGGGCAGACCTGCACCGTTGTCAAGGGAAGACGGTAAAGCTGACGCGAACATGACGAGTGAGCCGCAAAGAGATAAACTGAACTCCGGTTAGCTTCCATGCATGACAACTCAGTCTATGAATCCAAAGTGTAACTTACACAAGCCCTAGTAAAAGGGTCTTGTAGCGTCCAAGCCAGATATCGGAGATGACTGCAAAACAACTCGGCATCAGGAAGAGAAAGATGAAGAAGCCGTTGGATATTGCCGTAGCTGTCGACTGGCCAAGCCCAAGCGCTCCAGGTACATGTTTAGATCCTCTATCATTTTGTATGTAGTTTTCTAGACTGTCAGTGTTGGTGATCCTATACGCATGTTGAAAAGTCAAGGACAGTTCTTGAAAGCATGTGACTTACGCCATATGGAGACAAAGCAGTAATAGCTAAACCGCTCTGAGGCACCAATCAGAGCGGCCACCCATGCTTCTGGTGGTAGAGTATCGACAATATGAGGGAGGTTCTCTATCTCGTCGCTCGTTGCATCACGGGGGGCGTAATCGACAGCTTGCGCTTCAGCTAACGGACTCGTCTGCGTCGCAATACCCATGTTGGCAGTCTTGGTCCGCGACTGGCCATCGGATCATGAGCGAGCAATTTTACTCTTGACCTATGAGTCTTTCTCCAGCTGATCAATCATTCTGCGACCAAGCCTGGCATTTTGGAAGCGGTCCTCAGATTGGTTCATGTTGCATCAGGGGCGGTCTGTCTCCGTGTTAATCGTACTGTGCATAGGCTGATGCCAAGGTAATGCCAACATTTGCCAAGCAGATGCCAAGCGACCAAAAGGAATAAACAACCTCAAACATGCTCACGGAAGGCCGAATGTAGAAGGAGGCGCCAACGGGCGACGAGACTCCGGAAAATACCACGTCCAACTCGAAGGACAAATTGCTCACCAGCCATCTAGGCGATGAGAGAAGAATCAGTGATGTACTTATTAAGATGGAACCAAAATGAATGACAGCAAACACCGGAACAGACAAGACGAGTAGCCATGGCGTCGAGTGACCAATCATCCACGTACCACATCGGGTTCAAGCAGGGTACCATCAAGCTGTTCGAGCTGCGGAACGTCTCGACATGTCTGCAGTATCTCCTACCGACGCTGAAGTCGCTGCCGCCCACCTTCTCCCTCCTGGACGTTGGCTGCGGCCCAGGTAGCATCACCCTCGACCTGGCGCGGCACTTCCCCCAGGCCACAATCATTGGCGTCGACCAGAGCGCCGAGGTGACGGAGCGCAACCAGGCCAGTGTCGAGGCCCTCGCTCCAGGCACACGCGTAGAGTTCCGCCAGGGCGACATACTCCGCCCCGAGACGTTTCTCACTCCCGCCGAGATGGAGGCCAAGTTCGACGTCGTCCATGAACACACCACGCTCATCTGCATCCCCGAGAACGCCCCCGTGCTGAGACAGATGCGGCTGCTCGCGAAGCCCAAGGGCGGCATCGTGGCATGTCGCGACGGGGATACGCAGTCGCAGGTGCTGTGGCCGCCGTGTCCCGAGAACGCGGAGCTGCAGGAGCGCATTTACAGGATGAACGGGCTAGAGACGCAGACCGGGCGCCGGCTGATCCACAAGGCGCTGGAAGCCGGGTTCCGAAGGGATCAGATCACGGCGTCGGCGAGCGTGCTGTCGAATATCACGCCCGAGGAGAGGTTTGCATATGCAGGGTCCATGCTGGATATTCTCGCCGACGAGAACTCTGAGTATCGTCGGGCGGCGGCCAAGTTTGGGTACACAGCGGAGCAGATAGATGTGCTCCGCGTGAATATGCAGCGGTTCATTGACGCCGAGGATGCTTGGAGACTGTTGATATGCACAGAAATCATCTGTCGGCTGGATGCAGATGATAAGACCGGTCCAACAAACACTTTAGCCTAGAGACTAAATGTCAATACTTGCGCAAGAATTGTAGGAAGCGATAGAACCAACATAAATATCAAATCAAGACCCCGTGTTTGGCTGCACAGTACCAGGGCCAACATGTGATGCCCGGGAAAACTTGCTCTTGTGGCGTTGGCCAAGCCATTCCAGGCCTGCAGACCCCCATGTCGGTCTCATTCGATGCCACGCTGGTATATAACACTTCTCGCATCTGCCTTGTTCGCATTCCACCTTTTGCCTTGCAGCACCTTCGCCTCTTCAACAAGACTATCAAACTTGCGTGCAACGAGATGGCGCCCGTATCACGTCTGTTCGGATCCGGGCTCGCCATAGCCCTTTACGCCATCGGCGTCCATGCCGACGGCACCGGCCTCATCGGCTGGGGCAAGACCCTCTACGACCCTACCTGCTCCTTTGCATGTCGCAATGTCATCAGAAAGCAAACTCTCGCCTGCACGCCCGTCGACTCGAGCGCGAACCACGGCACAGCCCACAATCCAGTCTCGACGCCGCCGAAATGTTTCGTCTCGGATCACGTCTTCCTGCTCACTATGGCGCTCTGCATCGATACCTACTGCCCGCTGAGCGAGAACCCGCCGATGGCCAAGCTGGAAGACTACTGGGCATCCCATCTCGGGACCGGCACACTGGGCAACTACAAATACACCCCAGCCATGTCATACCAGGAGGCTCTGGCTGCTGCGCGCGAGGAAGAATCAAAGGCTGCTCAAAACACCAACTCCTCGTCTTCTGATTCCGAGAGCGGAGGACACACCAACCACCGAAGAGTTCCTACAGTACGACTTGCGGCCCGCCATGGGGACATGTCGATGGATTCAGCCGACGGCCTGACGGTGTTCAATGTCTCTAGCCCTCTCCCCAAGGCAGCGGGTGGTTCCAAGCCTCTCAATACCACCAGCTTCGTCGGTCCCACCGAGTGGCAGCTACAGTGGAACTACATGCACGACTTTGAGACGAACGAGGCAGGCCACTCGACTGTCACTATTGTCATTACTCTGGTCGCCGTCCTCCTCCCCGTCGCCCTCTCGACGCTCCGCTTCATCCCAGGTTTCACAAAGAACTTTGCCTGGACGTACTGGCAGACTTTGCTGATTCATCCTGCCACCTTCGGTCGCCGTCACCGCGAGCCTGTCGCCGGGATCGGCAACATTCCCACCCGTGGCCAGGCCTTATACATCTTCGTACTCAGCTTCCTCAACATCATCCTCTGGCTCGGCCCATACACGATCCACCAGCCACAAGCCAGCTTCACATCTCTGAAGATGCAGAGCATCAGCATCATCGGCAATCGTGCCGGTGTAATGGCCATGGGCAACTTTGTAGCTCTGTTCCTCTTCGCCGCCCGCAACAACGTCCTGCTTTATCTCACAGACTGGAGCTACAGCACTTATCTACTCCTTCACCGCTGGCTAGCCTACTGGGCCATCTTCCACACCATCGTCCATTCCTTTATGCTCCTCGCCAACTACATCCTCCAAGGCACCTACGAGGCCGAGCTTGCCCGCGATTACTGGATCTGGGGCATCGTTGGCACCGTCGCCGTGAGCGCCATCCTGCCCTTCTCTTTGCTGTGGGTGCGTCAGCGCTTCTACGAGTTCTTCCTCGCGTCTCATGTCGTTCTGTCGCTCCTCTTCATTGTCGGATACTACTACCACATCTGGTACGTCTACGAGTACAATTGGGGCTACGAGATCTGGATTTTCGTCGCCGGCGGGATCTGGGGCGCCGACCGCCTTTTCCGTCTTGTCCGCACTTTCTGGCAGGGTCTCAAATGGGCCAAAATCACCACGGTTGATGACGTCGACGGTGAATACATCCGCATCGAGGTGGAGGGGAAACGCCTCGATGGCGGGGTGGTCTATCTCGGGTTCCCGACTCTCAGCTGGCGTTTCTGGGAGACGCATCCGTTTTCTGTCGCATATTCCGGACTGAACGACGTCATTACTGAGTCGAGGACTCCAGAATCTCCAGTCTCGACTCCGGTCAGGGATGACAAGACGGAGGCTGAGTCGCCGACTGTCGAAGCTGACCCCGAAAAGGGCATCAACGCCCAACAGAATACAGTCACTACACCCGCACGAGGGAGCACAGATACCACAGTCTTTTATTCTCGCACCCGCAGCGGCATGACGCGTGCCCTAGCTGCCAAGGCATCCCACTCCACCCGCATTCGCGTCCTCCTCGAAGGCCCCTACGAACATTCAGGTCACGTCTCGGCACAAATCGCCCATTGCACCGATATGATCTGCATCGCCGGCGGCGTGGGAATTACTGCGTGCCTCCCTTTTGTCCGCAACCGCCCTACTGCGGGTAGTACGTCGTTGTTTTGGTCCAGCCGCCACCAAGGCCTCATCACAGCTCTGGCTCCAGCCATCCAGAACCTCCCTAGCAGTGTCAAGGTCGAGACCGTCGTCGGAGAAAGACTGAAGTTGGATACTATCCTCACGAAGGAGATGACTGCTGTCGCTGGTGGTGCGCTGGCTGTTGTCGTCTGCGGCCCGCCCAGCATGGCGGATGATGTACGTAGTAAGATTGTTGAAATCACCAGGAACGATTCGAGGAGCAGGCCTTACGTTTTGGTGGACGAAGCATTTGCGTGGTAGATAGGTCTTAGCCACAGGATACAATACTGTTTTTGATTCCCAAAGGACTTCAGTCGTCCATGAGTTTGTACGTAAACCGCTCTCTAATCTCACGATCCAGTCTCAAACACTCCTTTCTTCCCTTCCTGCTCGCAACAATCACGTACCCGATGCACCACAACTCGCTCGATTCCGGTCCCTGCACCACCTCCCCCTTCTCTTTCACAGTCTGATAATGCACAACATGGCGCTCTAGATCAGGGTTCGCCTTGAGGAACTCCTTCACAGCATCAACAGACCCCATAACTCCTGCCTTAGTAGGAGCGAGCACCGAGATGCCTAGCGTATGCTGAGGGACGCCATGCAGAAAAGACTTCGATAGCGCCCGAACTCGCGCATCTTCCTCCGGGCCGAGACTGAGCAGCAGCCGTATGGCGTAGTAATCGACCCCGTGGGCGAGGAGGGCTGCCACGCAGTTGATGTACCCCGGCGGGCGCGCGTTAACCTCGTGCAAGTAGCAAGACGGAGCTTCAGCGGGAGCATCTTCGCGAACACGCAGGTCGAGGATGCCTTCATCAGGGTCGACTGCATAGTACGCCCGCGACCCGCGGACCCTGGCCTCGCAGTGGAACACGCCGGACTCGAACCCAAGACGCGCGATGCTTTCGGCCAGCGAGTCCCGCATCATGGCTCTCTCCTCGTCGGGCAGTGCCGAGGGCACGTCCATGAGTGTCTCCATGAAGTTGGCAGCTTTGCTTCCGTCCATCCCTGGGATGTCGGCGGAGCAGGGAAAGTCGTCCGTCACGTCACAGAAGAGCACTTCTCCGTCTAACACGATGAAGTTTGCGTCAATCTCGGGCCCGTCGATGTACGGTTCGATCACCACGCTCGTGCTCCGTGCCGCAGATGCAGCATGTCGATCCGATGCGCGCTTCACAGCAGCCCGCAGCTCGCTCTCGTTGCGCACTTTCATTACGCAGTCGCTGTTCCAGCCGGTGCAAGGCTTGACGATCAGAGGATACCTCAGTATCTTCCCCTTCTCTGCCAGTACCACGTCGAGATCTTCCGCCGTGTGCAGGACAAACCCGTCTTCTTCCCCAGACGCAGCGGCCTCAATTTCCCTTGAGATTCCCTTATTCCCCGCCCTGGTGTACGCTGCTGAACTGGACGTAGGCAGCCCCAAAATCTCACACGCACGTGCGACGAGGGGCAACCGCACATCACTGATACACACTACCCCGTGGACTGGATGCGGATACGCCCGCACGGCGTCGACGACGCGCTGGGTAAGCCCCTCATTCGCTGCGATGCTGACGGGGACAAAGGCCTCGCGGTAGAGCGCGTGCGGGCCGGCGTCGTCTTCGAGCCAGTGGCCCGGCTCGTCGAGAACGACGAGGGTGATGCCGAGGGCGTGGGCAGCTTGGTAAAATTGCCGGCTTGCTTCGATATTGGCGCGGCCTTGGACCCAAAAGACGCGTTTCTGTGTTAGTCTCTGTGGGACTGTCCAGGGGATGGAGAGTCGCTTAGTGAACTCGTTGTCCAAACGGGCGCGGAGGGCTTGGAGTGTGTCCTTGGGGTTGGTGGAGTGGGCGATGACACCGCCGACTGAGCTTTGGAGTAGGAAGAGGAAGCCTTCTTTTGTGGTGACGTTGAGAGCTTGGTCTGGGCTTGTTGCTGCTACTGATGCCAATGGGGTGAGGAAACCCGTGACCTGATAAGCATCCTCGCAACCCTGGAGCCTGTAGGAAAGAAAGTCCGACCTGATTATGGTGCCGGCCTCTGCTGAGAATAGCAACTTCAGGAAGGTGGAATGGGAGAGGTCTTGTTCGAAGAGGCTTTGCAGCAGATCAGTGGCGAGATTCGTCTCATTCTGGTCGACCACGAAGCTACTTTCGCCGGGTTCTTGCTGGGCAATGAGCACAAGATCCAGGTGCCAGTAGCTCTGGCCCTCTTGCGCAGTGGCAGTTCCTGTGCTTGGCTGGACGGCTTGCAGTGTTATCTCTGACCTCCGTGTTAGTTCGGAGTGAAAATGAGGCCGAAGACATGTTGCTTACCTGTCCCATCATTTCCCCTGAGCATCACACTCCACCCAAGGCTAGCCATTTTGCTTGTATGGTGTACTTGAAACGCCACCGACTTGCAGCAACAGCAACAATTCCGCGACGGCGTGAAGAGATAACCGAGATTGCGACCTGATAGACTTCCTGTCACTCATGCCATCGACAGCGGCCGGTACATCCTCATAAGACACCCACCAAATGACTCACCCCTGCCTCAGACCATCCCATCGGGACCAGGGGGCAAGTAAGGTTCGGCACGTGTACGCGAAAGGAGCTGTTAGATCCGTGAATGAGCAAGTTCTTTTGCCTCGTGAGCCCTGGATCGTGCAGCTTCGCTTCGCGGGGCTGAAGATTCTCAGCTCATTGAGCAAGTTTAGTAATTGGCTCTGAGTGAGATTGGAACCGCCGAGACTTCTAGACGGGCTCTTGGCTCTTGGCACTGTGCTGCACTGTTACATCAGGGAAAGCCGAGGCTGCATGCCGAACGTCGTACCTCCAGCCTGTTCGAGCTAGTGAAGATTGCACCATGTAAGCCGCTGAAGGATCTGGGCTCGCCATGGTAGCCGTGGCTGCGGTACATGAAGTCAATTATTTGACGGAGATGTCTTGAAATGTAGCTTCTGGCCTTGATGGTACGTGGCTATCACAGAATCCCTCACGGACTCTAAGACTCGTCACCAAAGTCCATTCTATTCTTTTGAAAAATGACTTTCCAAGACAATGTCTTCAGCGGACCAAGCTCAGTCATTGACTACTTCGACCCCGGCAAGAACCCCCCTCTTCCCCTAGTTGAGATTCCAGACCGTTTGAACCCGTTCCGAGAAGATGGAGTCAGGATATACGCAAAGATGCTCACCTGTCTGCCGGCGCAGAATGTCAAGTCTCTGCCAGGTACGTTGCCATTTCCTCATCTTTGTACGGCCAGAAGGTGACACACGTAACTTGTAGCCCTGAAGATGCTGCGAGAAAAGCCGCACGCCCATGATAAAAAGATTGTCGAGGCAAGCTCTGGGTCGACTGTGCTATCTCTCGGGATTATTGCGAGGGCTCTCTGGGGAAACGAAGATGTGGACGCCTATGTGACGAACAAGAAACCGCCAGAATCGCTGAATTTGCTTCGTTTCTTTGGTATCCGACCGTGAGTTCGATTTCAAGAGCTGGGTGGAGAGAGTCTTTCCTCTGACATGAGCTTTTCTCAGGTGTCTCTACGGCGGCCTTGCGCAGCAAGAGCCGACAGATCCCACAGGCATCATGTGTAGGCTCCGGAGTCGGGCAGCGCAGGATGAGGATATGGTTTACCCTGGGCAATATGACAATCCGAACGTATGATGCCCTGGCTTTTTGGCAGCGTCCAAGGGCTGACAAATGACAGAATTGGAGAGCTCATGAGGATTGGACGGGTCCCCAAATTTTCAGGCAGCTGCCTCAGATCAACATCTTTTGCTCTACCGTCGGCACTGGAGGTGAGATCAGCAGACCCCAAGTTCTCTTTGAGTTGACTGACAGATTATCAGGAGTAATCACGGGCACGGGAGTATACTTAAAGTCCCGCAAGCCATCTGTCAAAATTCTTGGGTCAGTCTATGCATGTAATGACATAGCTCCCGGTTATTAACGATCAAGAAGTGTCTTCAACAAATTCGGAGACCCGACACCTGGACCTAGACACTTTCACGGCTTCCACACCTCCGGCTTTCCATGGCAAGGCACAGTTGACAGCCGCGTCGAAGTCTCATCAGTTGACTCGTACCGCATGTCCATGCGCCTCTCCCGGGAAGGACTCATCTGTGGCCCGTCTTCAGGGGAGGCACTTCACGGACTCCTCGAGTGCATCTCCATGCTTAAGCAAACCAACAGCCTGGTACAGCTGAGAGACGATCAAACAGGAGAAATCTCATGCGTCTTCACTTGCAGCGATCTCCCGTACCAGTACCTGCCAATCTACTATCAGAAGCTTGGAGCGGAAGAGTTTCCTCCGATTGAGAATGAGGTCAGACAGACTCGCAGAATCCTTGGATTATCTGACTAACATGACCGTGACAGATACTCTTGCAATGCGACCAGAATCGACATGATGAGAGATGGATCTTGGATGCGCGGAAAGCGGCCAACGTCATTTTTGGCACGGCGAAACTACAGTCATGCCAGAAGGATGCTCTCAAAGTCAGCATCGAAACGGTCGAGGAAGTCCCAGTTCAAGGCCCACCGAAGGGTCGCTCCTGGATTTCTTTCATCGTTAATCTCCTCTTCCCAGAAAAGCATCGTACCGACGTCGACTGCTGCTCACACCATTCCTGCAGCGTGATCTCACCATCAGTCCTAGTCTTGGACATCCGTAGCCAGTCCGCTTTCAAGGCTCGACATATACCGGGCTCGTTCTCGGTGCCCTTGGCCGGTCTGACGCCAAATCTAGCTGATGGTGACCTTTTTGGAGATGCGGAATCTGTTCACATGATATGTATACAGATTCAAAACGCAGTTGCCACACCTCACGTTGCTCGATGGCTGCGTACTGCAAGAGAAAGCCAGAAGGCTGTTGTATGTGTATGTTACAATGGCGACGCAAGCAAACTTGCATCCTCGACACTTCGTGTCCTTGGTAATGAGGGTTTTAGCATTGATGGTGGTATGGAAGCACTCTGGCCTGAGCTGGAACGTCTGAAGCTAGTTTGAACCGGGAGCCCTAACCCCAACCCTGGCCACGGTAGTGCGGTTTCTCAAACTGCCACCAACCGGTGAAAGCTTTGTGTCAATTACACTGGAGCGTATTTGTGCTTCCAGCCTACCTCAGATGGTCCACGTTTATGCGTGTGGCTCTGATACAGAATTCATTGAGCTTCTCCTGTTGGGAGATCAATGATGTTTTGAGCTGTAATCGGACATTCGGCTTCGCAGTCCGTCGGGCTCCCGCTCAATCAAAAGTGTCAGTCTTCATAGTGGCTGGCAGAGCTCAATTGCACT